CGATCCTCCAAGACGTCATGACAGACAAATTGCTCATCTGTGTGGAGATGATATGAGGAATTTTCAGAGTAAGAGAAAGAAGAAACTGTTCTTGTTTGGTGACATTCACTGCGGTAGTTTTGTTTAAGACTGTGAGACCAGGTTGGAAGAACATGAAAGAGACATTTGCTGTGTAAAGAAATGAAAGTAGATGTTGTTATTGCTCTGGTTTAACAAATCACTCAATAAAAAGGTGCTTTGTTTTTGCTATTCACTGCCCAGAAGAAGATTCATCACAGCATTGGAAATACATGTAATGTTATAAAAAGCAATACTTGAATCTGATAATATGTTAATTGTAAAAAATATATATTTAATCCCTTTAAGGCTTTTGCAAAAATATTATATATATATATATATATATATATATAAACAAAACTAAAACATGTTTCTCATGGTTTTATTTCAGTCGTAGTTTTCCTCTTGCCACTCTTCCATAAAAAGTCAGACTTGCAGAATGTACAACCACTAGTTGTGTCAACAAATTCTCCCACCTCAGGTGTGGATCTCTGGATTCTTGGCTGATTCTCTGACGAAATGTTTTTATCCTATTCTGTCATTTTCCTTGCTCCTGAGAATAAGGGGTTTTGTAGACATTTCCTCTTTCAAGCTCAAAGTTTAGGCCTTTGTTCTGTTGAAACCAATCACAAATTGGGCACATGGTATTGCAGACACCCATCATATCGCTAAAAAGGAACTGGTTGAGAGTAAAGAGCTCCCTCATTTGCCTCCTGGTTTCCCATCTGGGCCCCTTAAAAGGTTATAATGTACTCTAATCACTGACAAACTGCACAATCATTTAAACTGACTATAGATCTATTGTTGCATAATGGATTACATCATACCGCATAGCACATTTTGATTTTAAGCAGCCAAACTCAGGCGGTTGAGCAACAGCATAGTTTTAAATGACACTATGAAAAATATTAAAATAAATAATTTGTGCATACCCTGCACATTCCCTATTATTTGAAACCGCTGTTGTAAAGATTTTCAGAAGGTCAGCTTACATTTAAAGTGCAAATAGTTTCCCTCCACTGCTTTCTTGTTTACTCTGTGATAATATTTTCTTAACATGTTGTACTCTGCAGTACTTGTACTGCTTGTTTTCATGCAGTCGATCCTCGGCGAGTTGCACTCCTTGTTCCGCTGCTGTTTCAGACCGATTGGAGCCTCTCCTTGGCGCACGCAGCTGCACAAAGCAGGTGGGAAAGGCTTTTCAGTGGGGCCTTGCTTACGTCGAGGGCTCTCTTTGTAATTGCCGGCAATTACAATATGTGGCACGTGACGCTCCGCGCTGTTTTCAAACACGATGAAAGGCCAACAAGGTCCCCCCTCATATCCAGCCATAATTGAACAATTAAACTTTAGCATACTAACTACCTCTTCATTTGGCAGAACTTATTATGGAGGCTAGCCACACACAAAAAATGGCTCTCTGGGGTCAAACTCGTAATAGTTTCTTTGGACCTAATAGTATCTCAGATTTATTGAACGACAGACTTATTGAATCTGTTTTGTATTTCTGCTCGGGGATCACATTTTACTGCACGCCTACTTTTTAAGCTACATTATAAAAAAACCTGTTGAAAATAGGTATAATATTTGTCTGAGTTAATCCTGGTGAAAACCCAGTTTATAAATCGGATTTCAGGTTTGAAATCACACTGTGTAGTTGAGGCGGTCAGTCTGAAAGATGTCCTAATCTGCTTGGAAAATAAAACGTGAGGAAGCATATAGAGAATTTATCATATTAATAATGCAGTGGAAATGATCAGAAATAAGTGAGGCAAGCATTAGTGATGTCATGCAGACATTAATTCTGGAAATGAGATGTGGCGATTTGAAAAATCATGTCTGGTGGACAAAAAAAAAAATCTTCCTTTTCTTCTTTACTGATATCATTAATTCATATCATCCCCCAAAATCGATGTTACTCCTAATAAAAGACAGGTTTGAATTGGTCAGAATTTTTAAACATTATAAGTCATTTGTGTTAGTTTAAAATATTTCTATTCTGCAGATGAATTTTTCTCTTCACTAAATATTTTCATCAGCATCTGTTTACTGCTGTTTGTGGCGATCAATCAAATATTTTATTAGAAGTAATATTTTAAGGTTTAAAATGCTTTATACTGTACAAATAAAAGCAACCACAAGAACTTTTAGCTCAACATATTTTTGTGATTTGAGATGCTTTTGCATCAGGGTGCTTGCGTGATATTCCTCTGGGACTTAAGTTTTAAGAGTCTCTGACTTTAAAGGGAATGTAATATGGTTTCATGGTGTAAATGTTGTAAAATAATTACAAGTTATAGTTAGAAAACATGGCTTTTATCACAATTGATGCTGTCTCAAAAACAAGACGTCTTTCTATGGCTTTTAATTTTGCAGTGGGATTCTCTTTCTCAATCCCTGTTGACCCAGATATTAGTGACTTTACGCTGCTGTAGACAGAGGTGTTACCCCGATCAACCTTTGCTACTGCACAAATGTTCACAAAAGAGAAGGTAACAAAAAATTAAGTTCCGGGAAAAATCATACTTGGTCTGAGAGTTGAAACATGTCTAAAGATGAGTGCTTTAGGGCTAGAGTCTTTTGAGACGCAACATGTCAACACATATCTAATCTACTTGACTGGTTTGTTCTCCTGTCTTTCCCATTTTGATTAGTGGCTAAAAGAAATGGGCCTCCACTTCCCTTTATAACCTAAACTGCAAAATAAATGTTTCTCTGAACCCCGATCAGGTTAAAATGATCAAAAATAATTAAAAAAAAAAAACTTTAGTTATATTTATGCCATAGAAATCTTTGGAGGTACTCCTAATTGTGCCACTGATTATTTTTTTGATGATTTTGTTATCATTTCCAAATGAATGCCAATACTTGTAGAAGGATTTGTAGCTTAGAAAGAAACGTGTATTATTGTCAGTCTTCAAATTATTCTGCTTAGGTTGTAAATCACCCATATAATAATCCCATGAGTTCAAACGCTGTCTAATTACGCCTGATAATGTCCCTCTGGCACTCCATGAGCTCTCCAGGTGCATTAGGTGAAAATTCGATTAACGCAGGCAATGGACAAAATGCTTCAGGGACCACTTGGAGAAGGCAGTGGACATTAAAAGAACTGGCTATTCAATCAGTTTAAAGGTCTGCATAAAAAATTTACATTTCTCGGAACACAAAAGCATCAAAAATAAAAAAAAAGTTTATGCAAGACAGAAAATGACATCACAAATTCCTCCTGCAGGCAGTGATAAGAAATATGATGAATTTGATATCAATGCCAACAGAAAAGCTAAACCGTTGGAGCATGGCCCGCGACTCATATATGTGTCATTTGCGAGTTCAAACACAAGATGATTATACGTGTTGATATATCAAGGCAAGAGATGAAAATGATTGGAACTATATCATAAGGTGGTGATTCTACACTGTATTAAACAGCACAAAGGGGCTTTTGTCATTGAATTCCAACAGCAGTTCAGCCACTATCGCCTCTGCTTTAATTTAATATCTATTTATTTCACTCCATTGTATGGGTTTTATTGAGGTTGTGCCTGTTTTATCGGCTCAATCTAAACCAGAAGTGAAGGTCAGGAGAGGCAGAGTGCCTCTATTTATTGGCTTCCATTGAGTCCATATGAGCTGATTTGGCTATCTGGTTTTGATATTAAGCTCTTTCACAGCATTTTCTGCTCTCCGGATATTGTTTATCACCACATTGAGATTTTTGCAGCGCATTTACTACTGAATTAAATATTCTTCATCATTTTTGTAATATCCTCTCTGCAGGCACATGCAGGATGTTCCAGCATGTGTTCTTACCAACTATCTATGAGAATGAGATTAAAAAACAAGCCAAAGCTTCATTTCTTCTCTGTCTTCAAACAAGTTAGAACAAGTCAAATATTTGGATTTGTGGAAAACTTCCTCATATTACCCAACTCTTGTGTTTTGTATTTATTCCATACGCTGCTCACCTTTATGTTAATTTGAAATATATATCTATAACATATAATATCTCCTCTTGCTTTACTTTTCTTTTGCCCGTTCATTCTTGCTAATTATTAGATCATTATTTTGAACTGAAACATTTTGCAGGTTTCCTTCCAGGGTTACCTTATAATGAGCTTGATCCATTTTATCATCAATGCCAAACAAAGCCAAAAGCATCTCACAGCATGATGACACTACTATTGCGCTTCAATATGTTGTGTTTGGGATGATGTTATTTACAGAACAGCTCCATGTACATATTAACTGCACATGTGGACAAAGATTTAGGTGGACAGAATTTTACTTAGGGACTTAAAGACAGGCTAAAAAGTAGGGGCACACTGATAAATTGGCGCAAATGTTCTTCATTTTTGGAGATAAGCAGATGCTTCCATGTGAAGTCAGTCTGATCCACTGATTTTATCTACCTGAACAAAAGTCTAAAAATCAACCACTGTCCTCTTTTGCTCTGCCGTGAGAGATTAGACTGACAGATCCACTCTCCAGGTCATATCTACACATTTGGAGTTAATACTGTCGTCACCCAACTATTACCAACTCAGCGACTTTCTTCTCATAGAGCTCAAAGTTAAAACAAGCACTTTCACAAAGGCTAGAGATAGAGAGCTGTTGATCAAGCAAACTCACCATTTGCAATATTTGATATATTTGTGATTTCAGATCTTCATAAGCAGAAAGACATTTTGATAAGAATAATAACGTTTTGTTTGTTTGTTTCTGAAAAATAAAGTACAAACAGAACTGTGTTTTGATTCTATGCTATAATGACCTGCCACACTTTCATAAGTCCATTCGTTAGCTCCTTGCGTTACTGCGAGCCTCTCTGACGTCACGTCGTGGCAGAAATATGACTCTGCAGGTGGCGCACGTGGTCTGTTGTTTACTTCTTCCAGGAACGTTTTTGGTTGGTCCAGCTGGAAGGCAGCAGCTGGGGACGCTTAAATTGTGAAACAGTTTTCCTGGATAGAGTTACTCAGCATTTAGGAGAAAACAGTTTGAGTGTAGAGGCCGGAAAGATGTCAGACTGAAAGCTTTTCCTCTTGCGAAGCGGTTTAATCCTGAAAAAGAGAAGAAAAGTAAGTATAGCTTGTTTCCTGGAGAGCGTGTGTGTGTCACGCATGGGTTCTTTGTTCTAATCCTCTGTTTTCCCCAAGTTCAAACAGCCAAGTGGCCTCAACAAGACCGAGAAGGTTATATATCAGGACATCACTTTTCCACTGAGCGTGTTCTTTCTCTCTAAACGTTATTAACCTGCTCCATTAGCATAAATATGATACAGAAAGGAATGATTAGGCAAAAACACGTGTCTTACGAAGCTTAAATGTCGTAAATGATTGCACAACTCAAACGTAAAGTTATTGACCTGGTTTTGAAATGCATACATAAAAAAAACTGGCTTATGCATTTAGTCCTCTTTACTCCACAATATCCCCCAAATAGAGTTCAGTGAAATTAATTGATGTAAAATCTATATGACTCCAGCTACTCTGTAAAAACCTCAGATGTTTGTTAGAAAACATCTTGCAACAAAACTTTCTATGAAGACAGAGGAACACAGCAGAGGTCAGAGATAAAGTTGCCAGGAAGCTTGAAGCAGGGTTGCATCATAAAATAATGTCCAGAACATCTGGCGACTAACAGAACAGTGTTCAAATATTGATGTTCAGTATAAGCAATTTCGCAGGGCAATTTAAATACAATGTGAGAATGTGTTCTAACTTCATATCTTTTGTCCTGATACAATCTAGAATGCTTCAGTTTGGAAATCTCTTGGCCCATTTTCACCTTCCCCACAAAGCTTCAGAAAGTGCTCAAAAACAAAGCATAAAGCAGCTTCCAAGCCTTTCAGACTTTTTACAGCATGTCATGTAAGTATGATTTCACACGATGTATTGATTTTACAAAATAGGATAAATATGTAACTCATTTTTTAAATGTCCCTTGAACTAAATATAGTGAATTTAACTCTGTCCTCTAATCAGATATCTTAACAGCCACCAAGTGACTAGAATCTAGTGATTAGATTCTAGTCAACAATAAAATAACTCCTTCATGGTGATCCTTTTCTAGAAATAATCCTCAATATTTTTTGGAGTATATTTAAAGTCTGTTATTATTTCTCTCATCAATCAGCTGATACTCAATCCTGTTATAGCTAATCAAAGCAATGAGAGGTTTAATCTTCTTCTGTCATTGGACATGCCTCATATTAGACCAGGAGTGGGAAACTCCAGGCCTCAAGTCTCCTGCAACTTTTAGATGTATCTACTTGAACACACCTGAGTCAAATAATGAGGTCATTAGCAGGAGTCTGGAGAACTTGACTGCACTTGGTAGGTGATTCAGCTGTTGGATTCAAGTGTTGAATCCAACAGCTCTTAGATGTCATCTAAGAGTTGCAGGACACCGGCCCTCGAGGCCTTCAGTTCCCCACCCCTGTATTAGACTTTAATTGTCTAAATCAATCGTGTCATGCATGTTATTAAGACCTTAATTGCAGCAAAAGTTTCATCATCACAGTGGTACATCCTATATTGAGTGGAATATCAAAATCCAAAAACCTCAGTATTGTCAACAAACTCATTTTGTCACAAGGTGTTTTTGTCATGTTACAGCTGAATGAAAGCCAGAACTAAAGAACTTTTGGTTTCGTCTTCTGCAGGAAACTCACTGGGCTAAGGAAGGAAGATGTACACTGCAGTCTTCGTGTCCCCGAACAGCATCAAGCCGCCAAAGATGACATCAACATGGTCATCCTGACAGGTTTGAAAGTGTAACTTTTCATGGCGGTTATTCATTTTTTGTACAGGGATGTGAAAAAGGTTATGCGTAGAATTTTGAGGAAAGAAATTCATTTAGTACAATTTGGAAGAAGGATGTCGCATAACAAATTGTGGAAAAATTTAAGCATAAGGAAGTTTTTCCAGAAGGACTGTAAATGTTTCAGATCACTAGACAAATGGTAAGCCTGGCTAAAGATAATTTGAGTAAATACATATTACTTTGTTTTGTCCTGTAAGTGACAATTTCTTTTACAAACCATTAATGTTGTATTGCCATGAACAGAGAATGATGGCCTTTGATGTAGCTGTTGTGTTGGACCTTTGCTACGTGCTTTCTGTCCGTCTTTCTCTGTCCATTTCCTGTCTGATTAGTTTGAATAAAGTTCCACTAGTGTCACATTTTTAAAGAAAACAAAAGAAAAATATCAATGGACAAAAGGATGATTTTGACATTCACCTTTGTTTAACTTCTTTCTCTCAGGTCGTGGGATATTCTGCATGGATGTAAATCCCCAGAGTGGAACAGCGTGTGCTCACAACCAAAACTGGCATGTGCAAGTGAAAGACAAAGACGAGAATTTTACCAATACTCACATTGAACAGGTCGAAGATCCCCTCAAAGCTATCATGGTAAACATTCTATTAATAGAAGATTGCTTCAAAAAAAAGAAAAAAGAAAACAAAGGCGCTTGTCTAGCATACTTAAGCTCAAGGTCCAATTAATTATCTAAATCACTGAATTCATACAAACTGCTACAGGGTTAAGAGACTCTGTGTCACTGTAACAATTTATATGGAAATTTCAAACACTGCATCAGGGCTACCTAAACTTCACAAGTGGGCACTCTTATAATTGCATTCACAGACAGAGGAGGCGGTACGGGGGGGGGGGGGTTGAAAGCAGGCAGGTGCCTAAACACAGCTGTGACCTGACGTTGCTGTGTCTGTTAGGAGTCACTCATTTCCATTTCTATAGATACTTCACTATGACAGGAAGCTTGATTAGAAGACTATTCTGGCAAACACAAGCTGCACTGGTAAAATTGTTCAGTCTGCAGATACACTTCAGGTTACATCACTTCCCTTGCCTTTAGGGTCACTGCTTACCAGCCTTTCTTCTTCTTTGAAAGCCTCCAATTATAATTATAATGGAGGTCATGTATACATGACCAAAACATTTGGTCCCTAAAATGTATTTTAGGTACGGCAATAAAGCATTTTTTAAGCCTAACAAAGAAGTTGAATCCTTCCAGATGTTTAGCTACAAAATGTTTTTTTAAGAGGAGGATAAAAAAAAGAAAGAAAACGTATCGTCTACATCCTTGTGGTGATATTTAAAAATGAAAAGCCAAAAAAGAAAAGTAGACATAATTTTTTTTTTCTCCATTATGTTCAACTGTCTCTTCTAGCGCAAAACGGCTCAATTATGCAGTCATTTGAAGAGGAGCGGAGTGCCTGTACGCAACAGTCTCTTCTTCCCCAGAGTCATCTTTCTCTCCCCCGACCTTAAGCTGGATGAGGAGCTGATGAAGAGAAGGGAGCTGGTACCTTCCAGCCAGATAGATGAGTTTCTCAAATCTTTCAAAGAGGGCTATCTGGGCTGGATATCTGATGCTTTGACTCCCTCCTGGATCTCAGGTGAATGGATTCTTCAGGCTTTAAAAATGTATCTCATCACTCAAACCCTCGTGGTCTTCAAAGAGCTTTCAGAACCACAATTTTAGTCTCAAGTTTAATTTATTAAATTAAATTGATCAAATTCAAACAATTCAGTTGTACTTTTTATTTTTTTTATTGCTCTGCAGGTCATCTGTCATACAGGCAGCTGGAGTCGGTGCGAGGCATCCTCAAGAAGATGGGAACGTGGGACGTAGTGCTTTTGCATGGTGGTGAGCTACTGAAAGGAGACTACCTGGGCTGCCAGTACCTCGCGCTGGACCGCCAGGACACTGAGACGTTGGAGTTTTCCAGAGTCAAGACCCTCGCTGCTGAGTCATTGTGGACTTTGTTAGGCCATGTTCCTCAGGTGAGTTCACAAACCTGACTGACAAGTTTACATGTCATGTAATGATGTAAAATGTAAGGATGGACATGATCCAGCAGGGGGCAGTAGTATTTTATGGCTGTCTAACTCAACTCTTTGTTATGTCTGCCCTGTTGTGGTGCCTGGGAATGCACTCCTAGAATAATACAACACGAGTTTAAAATGTTACTTGAACCCTTTTTAAGGTAAATCTTTATTTCAAAATGTTAAAAAAATAAATCAATACATTTTTATGAGACATTTAAATGAAAAATTCTTCATACTGTTTTTCCAATAGGAAAGCATTGGTCATTTTCAAACTCTTGAAATAACATAATAACTATTAAAAAATATAATTGCTTGAAAAAAAACATGTAATGTCTTACACCATAAACAGCTTGTAGATGCCGGTAATTGAAGATTGCAATAAAGATTCTTGTTTTTTGTTTTTTCAGTGGAGCCAGACTTGAGCATAGCCACAACTTTGTGAGACATGCATTCCTTTATCTGTCAGTAGGGATGACTTCACAAGGTTCTTTGTAAATAAAATCAGTTCTAATTTAAGCATCCTTCCCAAAATTGCAACTTGTTCATTTCTAGATGAGGTTCCCTTAGTAATAACTCTATAACCTGGTTTGTCTGTATTTTTTAACTGATCTTAGCTTCATCTACATCTTTGACATTGATCTTAATTTATGTGACTTCCAGCACCGCCTATTGCTGACAATGGCTCCAGAAAAAAGATTTCAGATAATTTATTTTTGCAATATTTATCAAAAGTCTAGTTGCAGACCTGGTTAAAAATCTGAAAAATAATAAGACTTTTACTTGTATTGAAATTCATTAGTATCAAATCAACTCTTTAAGTCATCTCCTGTTGTTTCCACACAATCCTTCCCATATCAATATAGATGTGGGTTTTCTGCTACCAGTAAAAATTGAAGCCATTAGAAAACTTTACAATTATTAATTAGAAGAAAAACATTGGTCTTGGCACTTATACTTGGGGAACACCACATGAAATCCATAGCAATTATTAATCTGTATGTAGGAATGCAGCTACATTTGTTCTTAGTTACACTTTGAAAAGTATTTTTTGAACATTTTTATTCAAAAAATGTATTTGCTACTCATACATCACTTTCAACTGTCAGTTAATTTGCTTTGAAGGTTGACATTACTTCTTCAACACCAAGGAGCGTGACCTGTGGTCCCCATCCATTACTGATTCACGACCCTGTGCACCCAAACACTGAACCTCAGCCTCCCGTACAAGTCCAGGCTTCAGTTTGCACCCAGCCCCCACCCTCAAAAACCTAACCCCAGAGTATGCACTCTCACTATTCGCCTCCAGCTGCTGTGTATTTGATACACGACCCGGCAGTCATTAGACAGTCTCCAGCAGACTCCTTTCTAGCCTATGGGGACACATGCAGCAAAAGAAAATATATTGTTTTCAAAGACATATTTTTAATTGCAAATATGTAACAAAGCCTGACGTACCCTTCAAAATATGTTTTTTTAATTTTTTTTATTTTTTTTATTTTTTTGCTGTACTACACCTCGTATATTTTAAAATATATTTTAACCAATTGAAAACGTTAATGGATTTGTGCATAAAACGTGTTCAGCTTGAAGCCTGTGCCATCCACTCCATGCAGGATGACATCCACTTTACTTGTGTGCAGCTGCTGCAAAAGGGAGGCTTGAGGGGATGCAGGGAAACCTAATATATCCCCTGGGCATATTTTCAAGGCTCAGAAATAATGCATGCTTTTGATTTGTTACTTGTAAACACACAGGCTGAAAAACCTGTGGTATGACCTTACAGTTTCACTCGGGCATCTGTTTGCTCTGTTAAAAGGGGCGTCAGATCGCGTGTGTTTTACCCGTGAGTTCGGGTAATTGCTCCGCAGTGAATGGGAGGTCTACATGCTCCAAAGTGGAGAATGATAGAGTAGAGTGGCTGTAATTTATTAATTACGGTCTATATTCTTAGACCACAGTCCTGGCTTCATTCAATTTGTATGGATTGAGGAGTAATTACAGTGTACGTGTGTCTGCATGTGTGTCTGTGTGTTGAGGAGGCAGAGTACGAGGTGAAAGTCTGTTCACGTCAAGATCCAAAGTGCAGGTTTATTTTTGTATTCATCTCTGTCACATCCTGTTTGGTTAGGGTTTTTTTTTTTAATGAAACATGACATTATTTTTACATTTCTTCAAAAAGCGTTCCTTAAAGTTTCCGATTGCATACGGCCATTTAACATCTCTGCTAATATAAAGACAGTACAAATACGGGTGTCTCGGTTGCTGGAGCTACATCTTGTCTCCCCGGCAGGCCACAGGTTTCACACAATTGCGGCTTGTCAATTCAACTCCACCCTGACATTCCTCTCCGTCTAGCTGTCTCCTGGGCTGCACGTGTCACAGGCTTGTAATGGACAGCCTGGTGCGTGTCGAGCTTGGCGCAAATGAAAAGGTTGAGAGGAGGGGTCATCAACTGCTTTGTGGTGGTAATGAACGATGGCAAATACTAAAAAGGCCCGGAGCAGGTCATTTACAAAGCTTGACAATTCTGCTGCCCAAATAGATCTTATCGGGATCGACTGTCGCCATTCGCTCTTTCTTTGTGATCAGTTCAAATTATTTCGAGAGATGTTACAAAATACTCACATTGTTAATTTTAATTGTCTTTTCATATTTTGTTAGGCTCACAAAAAAAAACAAAAAATGTGATTTTTGCTGTATATATTTTTTGAAAAACAAAAATGAAGTTTTCACACATCACAAACTGTTTTTTAAATAATATTTTAATATTCCACTCCAACTTTGACTAATCTGCAGTATCACAAGAAATGACATTCTCATTTTTTAGTAGAGTAAGGACCTGGTTTTAAAACACTGACTTTTTCTGGACTGGTTTTGGTGGCAGTTAGAGGCCATTTTTACAAGTAAGGCTACTAAGCCCAAAGTAACTGTTTTAGAAAGTAAGTATGATGCAAATCATGATCTGTAATTTAGATTTTAAAACCAAACAACTCAAAATAATTTGTCACGCCAATCTTTGCTTCACAGATATGCAATACATTCTATTGACCTCCGAAGTTGAAACTGTTGAAATGATATTAATCAAGCATGACGATGTTCTTGATACAAGCCAGATCAGTAGGATTTACCAGTTATTATAGTGTTAATCTATTCTGCTATAGTGAGTTAATCTATTCTGATTCATTCTCTAAAGTTCCTCTTATAAGTTTTATGATAGCTTGTCTCCCATGAATCTGTTATGCAATTTGCTCAGCAGCTTTTACAACTTAAATGAAAATTGTTTCCAAAATAAAGCACCAGGATATTCAAATTTCTGTAATTTCAGGATCACTCTTGAAAGAAAATTTGAATTGGAAATAATTTGCTCTGTAGTGCGCGTATCTGTGTACCTGTGGGTAGGAAGCTGCTGAGGAAAACGTAATTACACAAGAGAAGTGTGCTGCAGCATCACAAGTGTCTGTGATTAGCTGATAAAGACATGGTCCACTTACATAGTGGAAGGTAATGATGAAAGCTGCGATGTGTTTAAACTTGGTAAATTTTCTTTTTTTTTTTTTTTCCACTCAAGTACTGAGAAGTAGTGAAAAGTCCCACAGAGAGAATGTGGTTGTGTCCATTTGAAGATGACTCTCTGCCTTTCCTCTAAATTTATCCCCCTGTATGATATAGCAGTCATGTTGGAGAGCTCTTCAACCACTCTTTTGTTAATTTAAACATCTGCTGTCAAGGTTCATGTTTTACATATCCTACTTAACACGTGCAGTTCCAGTTAATTTGAATACAGGTTTAAAAAAGCTTAAAGGCATCAATATTCATTCAAAAGTTGGTCTGCAACAAGAACAGACATTAAAATTTTCTTACAGAACAAATCTGAACACTTACCAAAGGCTGGTGATATACAATTATGTAAAGAAAATCGCTCAGGAAAGTAAAATATTCTTCACATCAGCTTACTCAAGTTTGAAATAAAAACTGACAAAAAGTGGCTTTAAAAACTGTATACCGTCTATTTCCCTGAAAGAGATGGCATTTGAGCAGCAGTAAAGAACACCGTTTTTCATAAAGATACAAAGAAAAGTTTAAAGAACTTAAAGACTTTAAACCTAAAACTGCCAGAGGAATAAAAACTGGGCTTGGAATTTGAAGATATATGTTCAGCTCATTATTTATCAAGCTGTCAACTGAAATGCCTGATAAATGGAAGGACAATTTTGCTAATGATTCCCTCCAAAAAGTGACTTTCACATTTTTTATCAAATTAAAATTATGTGAAGAAAAGCTATAGCTGAAATCCTTTTATGAAGGAGGGCTTGAATAAAAATGTACATGATTATGTGCTGCTTACATAAAGTGAGCAGCACAGATATCTGTTGCAGGAAACTAATAAAGCAGCAGTTTGAAACTCAGATAAGTCATTCTTCAAATGTTGTGAGATTGTTCATGATTATTACAATAACTAGCACATATAAAGTTTGATCACAAAAAACAATCCCCCCAAAAATATAGCTAATTAACAAATTTAAACTGTACAGTGGTGGAAAAAGCATTTGTCCCTTACTGGCTTCTATTTATTTTTTTGCGTGTTTATTACATTTTTCTCAAACAATTTTTCATAACTGCATATTTTAAATTCACGATGCTAAATATTGTGAATCTAGCATCTGAATTCATACTGAGCTCAGTTTGTTTATCAAGTACCCAGCAAGATCTTATGGTGGAACAATTTCTATGATCGATTTCAAAAAAGGTTGAATTAATTAAAATAATGAAAATGCAATGGAGGAGAAATATGAAAATTGCAATTGAAAATCGAATCTAACCCTTCCAGTCAGCCCTGGTCCCCTGTATGACCTCCTTTCATGCATTTTTAATTGCCAAATTATCCAGAAACCCATGTGGTGGTCACATCAAATGGTTCTGGGGTTTTCCTGCAGCTGTACAGAATACAAGCAAAG